ATAAACAAGCACAGGTAAACACCAAGCCCAGCGCTCAACAGGAATCAATCAAATGGCAAGAACCTCAATTCAACAAGACAATGTGTTATCTCCAACTTAACTGCACACTGGGTTTGTACAAAGGACATTGAGCAAGCCGAGTAGAACAAGGTAATCCGAAGCCAGATCACAACACAGCTCTCCATATTGGTTCTACCTACTCTAGCATAAAGTGATGCAACCTGCTACTGAGGACTGTGTACATCTGCTAGGATGATACTGATTATTTCCATATACATTCACCACTCACTTTCAAAATTAAGAAATCAAAAGACAAAAAAAGCAGCAGCTACAAGCTCATTATTAAACCTTTCAAATTAAATTGAATAGAGTAAGAAGCACAACGATAAGCTGCTGACCACAATCCCAACAGACTGATTTTTTGAATTAATGCAACTAATGTGCTTTTTGCTTTATGGAATGTGATTGAGACTAATCCCACCAAAAATGCAGTAAGGTAGAGGTGAGGTCATGGACTATAAGTGGTAACAATGCAACACAAAGTATTGGCATATTAAATCTGAAGAATAATGCAGTTCTGAGCATTAAAACAAACATGCAAACTAATCTAGGTAGTGCCTAGATTAGTGCAATAAATTGCACTATTAGTGCAATTGCACTAATAGTGCAATAAATTGGCACTATTATATACATATGCTTGCTTGCATGTACATGTATATATTCACAGTTATACACTTCCAAAACTTTTCACAAATGTATGATTATTTTAGCATGTTAGTTCAATGAAAGACACCAGGTCTTTGTCAGTGCAGGTTGAAGTTTCTTTGACAGAAAACCTTAACCAGCCTGCTGTAGAAAAAATCTGCTTTAGGAAAAATCTCAACTGTATAATCATGAAAAAGAGTTACTTATCAAATATTACATATTAGCTGCTACTTATCAGATTAATGCAGTTAAAGTAAGTTTATTAGTGGCAATCTGTCATTAAAAATTTCACATATGTTCCAACGAGACTTTTTTTGTGCTATGCACTGTCAGAAGACTGATATCTTATTTGCTTAATTCCCGTTAGCAAAACATCTTGAAATGCAACGATTTTTCCTTTAAGTTTAAAAAGCACCTTCTGTCAAACATTTAAAAAATTCATTTTTTTCATAAATATAAAAACAGCCTAGTAAAAACATTTTAAAATAGAAACGTTTAACAAGTTAAAAAAAAAAAAAAAAACAACAACAAAAAAGACACTACACACACAAAAGAATATCGGTAAGAAATCATCAATCCATCAAGCCAGAAGGAGAATGTTTGCAATAGTCTTCATCTACCAAGGAATGCAGGCAGGCATTCCATATATGCCTCAAGATTATGTTCAGCTGAAGTAACCTGCTGAGCCATTAAGAAATGTTTTCATCCCATGCTTATGGAGTGAACTTTGCAAGTCTAAAAGCGAGCAAGTATGAAAGCTAGATTCACTATTTAATTACCTGAACAGTTATTCTGAAATGCAAGATTTTTAGTGTTTGCAAGTTTTTGTTAGTATAATTTTACATTTGGGATCTCCTTTCAGCAGCAGCAGAAACAACTGTTTCTTCTGATGTTTTAATGTCTGTACTGTAGCCTTTGACTTAGCTATTAAGGCAAGAGAACAAGCAACATGGTAGTAGGAACTAGAAGAGAAAAGTTTTAAAGGAAATAATTTAATTTCTGAAAATACAACTAAACTTGATCATCAAGAACATAACCAGTGATTGAATATGGAAAAGAGACGCTAGAAATATTTACAACCTAAAATAATGAAGATCAAGAAAGACTGCAAAGCCAGACTAATTAAAAATTTTGCTTTAAACAAAGGATTCAGACCAACTTTTCCCATTTTCTGCACTACTATTTTAAGCATTCTCAACACAAATTTGAAAACAACCTGAGTTGCAAAATAAATAGGAAGATTTCTGAATATGAGTTAATCTCAAATTCAATTCTTAATATCTTGAATATATTAGTTTGCACTGTACTTCAGGCAATTCATCTGCAAATCAAACAAACAAATGAAAACTTATTTTTATTGAAATCAGTGAGTACAGCAGAAGTTGAAGATTGAGAGATATTCTCCAATGGTAGGAACATAAAGCTTCATTATTACATAATAACACTGAGTACAAATGAGGATCACTGAGGATAAGTTAATTAGAAAAATAAAATGACAAGTCATAAACTACATTTTTTATAATGAAAGACTTCAGGTGTTTAGAACCAACACCCTCAAATTAAATGCAGAAGAAAAGACAGGCACATCGATATAACATGAACATTTGAAATGGGGTGCAGCTCTCAAGCTGTTGGACTACATATGGTCATGAAAAGCCACAGCATGGGTTTGCCCTGTCACTGGTGTGATTTGCTCAGACCAGCTTCCTTTGAGGTAGCTCTTCAAACAACATCTGGATTCACGTGCCTCTGCCATTCTTAAAAGGGTACAAAGCATAAGTATGAAAGAGCCTATGCAAGCACAAAAAACCTGACCTTCCTCACCTTTCCATTTTTCTATTTTCTGATCTTTCTAGTCCTGCTTCTTTAATAGAAAAGAAAACTATAACAGGCTTGAAAACAGCATGGGGCATGAACCTCAATGTAGTATCTGAAGTACAATCTGCTGTCTTTAGTATGTTTCAAGAAAAAATTATCTGTCCTCCAGGAATTCATTTTTAAGCATTCCTACTCAACAAGGAGATTAAATTTAAAAGCTGAAAAATAACGTTTAACTAGACTTGTCACTGATATAATTATGTTCTCAAGCACACTTTCCTCACACATAGATCACTGGCAACTCATCAGCAGATAGTTTCTATATAACATTACACACACGCATGCACACATCAAGTTTCCTTCCCCCACTGTGATGGATATCACTGGCACAATGGTTTCTGGTCTTTCTACCCAGCCATCTACATCTACACAGCCATCACTTAACTAAAGCAAAAACAATGACAATCTCCAGTTCATTTGTTCACCTTTGGCATAAGCGGTTCTTCCATTTTGACATTTTTCTACACAGATCTATCAGTTTTCTACCCTACTTCAGGGAGCAATAAAATCTTAAGTTGATACACAGTGACTGAAGTTTTATTAGTTATTCCAAGTTTTTCCAATTCTCTTTGAACAAGAAGTTTAAAGTTTCCTTCGTAAGACCTCAAAAGAAAAATTTTTAGCAAGCATTTGGTGAGAAGATAGGTAAGAGGAAGGGACGTTTGAAGCCTAAGTACTTTTTCATTCTAAACTCTAAGTGCATGAAACACGACAAATATAAGGATAAGGGTATAAAATTGATATTCTGAATACAAGCTACTTAGTACATACATGTAGATTATTTATTTATTTATTTATTTTTAATTCTTGCTTTGCTTTTATTTTAAACATGGGAAGACTTGAATAAAGAAAACTTTTTCCAGGACAACACCTTTAAAAGGTTTATGCATTTATAAATGTACATACTCGTGCTCTGATTTTGCATCTGCTGTACTAGCTTCTCGTTCACCCCAGTGTCAGCTCTGCAGTTGCAATAGTCTATAACCTTGAACAAATATATATACCCATTTTCAACCTAATTATAGTATTAAGTAAATGTCTCCCATGGGCCAGAAAAAAAAAAAAAAAAGAGTATCCTCCAGTTAAGTGACAAATCTCCTGATTAACATCTGGATCTTAAAAGTGCAGGCTTAACTAAACAAAGATTTTTCCACAGAAAACGATTACATCAGTGTAGAGACACTGTATCAAGCCTTCATATGATCATTCTGAAGTAGGAATTCATCACTTTCATATTTGATAACCGATTACTTAAAAGTTAAGATAACCCCCAACTTTTTTTTTTTTTTTTCCTGAAGCAACGAAAGGTTATAATAATAAATCAAGCTCACTGGGTTAGAAAGAGGAGTTTGTGCTGTACAAGCTGCACATTTATTTATGTAATGTTATTAAAACAATTTTAATGAAGTGAATAGCTGTTCTTTGCTAGCATAACCTTCTTTACCTCCATCTCTAAATACCATCAATATAAATAATTATGTTGGCAAAGGCTAAGCATGTTGGATACACTTAAAGCACTATCACCCTAAGTAATGCACGTTTTAATCCATTACACAAATGAAAGATACATAGGATAAAGACTTGCAGTCAAAAAAAGAAAAGCCACAAAAATCAACTGGAGTCATAAAATAACATTTCAAAAGATATGACTGAAGAGATAATGATAGCATGCGAGACCACAGCTCTTTCAACTGAAGGATTATACAGGTACTGCCATTTCCAGGACAATGCCAGAAACACAAAGGGAGATTATTTATTTTTTCTCTTCTCCAGCAGTCCACTGTCTCATCCATCGTAAAGAACGCGTGGAATTTGCACAGCCCAAGTAGGACATTCACCCCTTATAACCTAAAAATCAAGTTGCTAACAAATAGTCCTTCCTTCACTTCTACCCAGACATAGTACATCAGCAACCACACACAAATGCAAATTCAAGACTTCGGGGTTTTTACTCTGAAAAAGCTCACAGCTAAGTGGTCAAGTTTTGTGGTGATTCCCCTCCCCCCCAACACACACGCAACCTATGAAGTTATTTTCAAAACAGCATCTTACATTTCGAAGTAGTCAAATCAGAAACAAGTAAACCAATTCAGCCAACAAGCTTCTGTATTGTAAGACCAAACACAACATAACCATCTAGCATTAAACCCAAGTTGCATCAACAAAACTCAATGAGGATGTTTGGAAGCTGTGTAACCGAGCAGAATCTTCAGAGGACAGAAGATCAATTTTGCCATTCAGAAATACTTGTGCAGGAAAAGCAGCATATGTACACAGTTTTCTAGAAACCAGCAGTTGCCTGTTGCAATGCCAATGACAAGCCAGGGACAGCAGCAAACATTTCAAATTTGAACCAGAGACTTATGTGCTTATTTTTACACAGCCATCAGCATATTCATGTGATGGAGAACACTTACCACAGCAACAAAATGCTTCCCCAAGCCATGAAGAGAAAGGTTCCACTTACCTAAAAGAAAAAAAAAAATGTTAAAACTACTCAGGAAATCTCTGTTACAGATTTAACATTTGGGGGAGGGAAAGAAGTTTTTCTTCATTCAGTTTTTACTTGCCCACCCCCTCCTTCCACAAAAGGTAAGAGATGTTTTGATGGGGATAAGAAACCATAGCCTGCATGTACACTTAATCACTACCAGCACATACACTTAATCAACACATCTTTGAATCGCCTCCTGCCCAAAATGGCACAGAAATTGAGAATAGTGGAAAAAAAGGTATATGATTTAGGATGGAGATTCAGAAAGGGGAGACCCATCTCACTGACATAGATAGAGCGACTGCTATGGGCAATGTCCTGACAGGGAGCACATGTGGATGCATCAGGACTGACTCCTGTGAAAGGAGCAACAGCAATCCCATATGGATAAGAATGTTTTTTTAAATAAATGGGGTGCTATTAATAGATCAAAAGGAAGTCCTCCATTGCACGTCAGCTTTATAAGCAACAATTCTGAGAATGAATATGAATTTAGTGAAAACTGAAATGAGGTAGTGTCTGAAAGTTATTGGAACAATTTTTTTTTTATTGCTATTATTTTTAAACAGAGGATATTGTTGTCTCCATTGTACGTGTGGATAAAGCCATTCAAATCCTTTTTAGTTACTAGCATGTAACATCAAAGAATGGGGTAGTCTGAGAATACACCATTGTTCAACCACATGAAACACATAGTGTGTAAGCACAGTTAAGAGGTTAGAAGTAGAGAAAAAGGAAAAAAGAACAAAGCCCTCATTTACAATTGATAGCATCTTTGAACTGCACTGCTCCTTTCCTAACTTTGCCATCACATGAACTGTTTGAATCATTTAAAACATGATGTTGTGCATTTAAATAAGGATCTTTGAAAGCTTGTTCAAGAGAAAACAAAGGATTTCCTATGTGGTATTTATAGTTGCCTATATAACAATCCTCTACCTCTCAGAGCTTTGAGTTCATATGCAACAGTGTCCTTCAAACATATATTTTAAGTGCATCCGGTTATGCTTTTTAAAAAGCATAACAAGAATGTTCCTATTATTTTTCGATCAAGAGAAGCCCAGCAGAGCCCCCATCACCTTAAAGTTATGGAGGATGGCAAAGGACCAGAGGGACAGAGCTCCCCTGGCAGACCAGGAGCCCTGGGGCAGCCATGCGCAGATCGGCAGTGGCACACTCTGGATGTATCACGCTCATGACCAGCCAGTACATTTCACCCACTGCCCCGGTCCTTTACTCAACAGGAGAGTGGGGAGAGGAAGAAAAAATCCACCCCACATCAGTCTACGTAAAGCTTTGTCACCTGTAAGTTTTTTCTGAAACCTGTATCATCTTTTACTAAAAACTAAGACCTTCTGAGAAATGGACATATCTTCAGCCTTTCACTTACTGTTTGCATATTGGTTATAGCTAAGAGGCTGCTGTTCAGTGTGCTTTCCACCAGACAGATTCGCTGCAGCTTAAGACTCCAAATAGCCCCTAAACAAATGCTCGTATACGAACAAGAACATTCATCTTCACAACACATTTGACAAATGAAGGCTGGGGACGTTGGGCACAGGTCAGATGCTTTTTCTAAGGTACCTCTTATTTCTACCATTATCATACAGGACAATTGGACACAGAGAACATAAAATGACGTAATAAACATGTACATGTATAAGAGAATTAAGAGTTACTGAAATGTAAACAGCAACCACGGAAAAGAGATACCAAACTGTTTAACTTGTGTGGCTGTCAAAAGGACCAAGCTGCACCTCACATACTTAGGGAGGATCTTGCACTTCTGCTCCTCCTGGATAGCACCACGCAGAATGCGTTCCCTGTGTGTCACCCCCTGCTAGGCCACTTAACTCTCTAGTAAAAGAAATCCAATATTTTACTGTAACTATTGTAAGAAAAGTAGCAAACAAAAAAGCAAAAGCACCTACTTGCCATGCATTTTAGTTCTTGTTCATTATGAGGCTTACAAAGACCCTGTCCTCCCTCTGAGGCAGCAGCACTGAGCCTTGCACACCTGTGCTGTAGTTAAGCTGTTGCAAAGCTGTTCTGACAGTGCTTTCCTCTAGTAAAAGGAAGAATTTGGGGGTTATTTCTTAACTAGGACTTTTATAGCCTGTTGCTAACATACTTAACATGCCATCAGCTGGCAGTTTCTGACTAGAAGGAATAGTGAAATTCACAACAAAAATAGGCCAGAGAAAGAAATAAAGATACATTTTTTCCTCTTGTAAGTTAGAACAATGTTATGACTGAAGCACCTTTAATATAAATTTCAACTAAAATAAGGTAGCAAGCATTTTAATTCCTAGTTATATGTGACATGGGTGGTTAGAGCAGACAGCCATAACAGGCCTTTTCTTATCCTTCAAAAAGGTCAATAGACCTTTTCTTATCCTCCTGTTATTCATTTCCTTCTATGCATTTAATGACAGTGTACAATAAAACTCTGCACAAACAGGATTTCACTTACAGTACGCACAATCTTTCCACCCACATTCACTGTTCCCTTGCTCCACAAAGGAGCAGTCCCTCCTCCCCTGCAACTACACACTTCAGTTTTGCTGAATAGATGGCATATTTTAAAATCCAATTTATGCCAGTACAATTTAGAGGAAAATTAGTGCCCAGTAAATCTAATGGTTAGTGCTTCCATGGGAAATGAAAGTGATCCCTTTCTATTAACTATATATTATTCCTTGGAGTTGATTCAGCCCCTCCTTTGGCTACTGCTGCTTTAACATATGGAGATCACACATCATATTACAATTCCTGTCATGATCAGGTACATCCAAAGTAGTAACATAAGTGATGCAGGCTTCAGCATGCATCCAGTCAACCTTGAACTTACACATTCTCGTATAATTTGGTGCCCTATTTTTCACATGAAAGCACGTTTCTGGCACTCATATTATGCAAAATCTTATGGTGTCAAGTGAAGTCTCTTTAAGAGACCTTGTATCATCATCCTATTCGTGATTCTATTATTCAACAACCCAACATACAGCATTGGTACCGAAGGAGGTGCTATCAAATCCATTAATACTAACAGGTGTTGCTACATCCAGACCAGATGAACTGTGCTGCAAGATAAGTATTTGGCACGAATGGCTTTGTGGCAAGTTTCCAGACCCCCTGTCTCCGAGCAAGGTAAGGACACCTTGAAAGCCCAGATCAGAAAACTCGTGTATGAAAGTTAGACTGGAAACTGAATCGACTCTGAAGCAAGGTTAAGTCCTCTACCAAACATTTTTTTAAAAAAGAAGCTTGAGATTGCTATGCAATGAAAGCTTATCTTAACTAACTCCACTTTTAAAGAAAAAGAAAGCTAATTTTAAAGAAAAAGAAAGCTAATTTTAAAGAAAAAGAAAGCTAAGTTACAGAAAGTTATGGCTGTTGTACATATGCAAATACAGTTGCTTTTAGTCCATACACATTAGCAGAACCAAAATAGTTTAAGCAATAAAAAGGAAAGCTTTTCTTGCCTTAATTATTTCTATTCTACTGCTTGTAACATGACTAAGCCTGTGAGGATTTTAAATAAATAATTTGATCTTAAATAAAACTGAAGTAGCCTGATGTCAAGCTATTCCCTTTCTATCCCTTCAATCCCAAGCAGTCTGGACATCACTACATAGGTCACTGCCTTGGTGTTAAGTACTGCATGTAAAGAAAACAACAAAAACAGAAGTTTTTTCTTTCTAGCAAGTGTTCTCAAAAATATCTACAAACCCTTAGCCTGTATTGTAATCATCCATTTTTATTCTCCATTAGACTCAGTTTAAAGGGATTTGTTTCTGCACCAGCTGTGGTGAACTCACAGAGCTGCCTGTAAGATGGAGATAAGCTATGACCACAGTTGCTGCTCTATTAGTTTGCTTGCATGTTGGATATTTTTGTGATTATAGTTAGTTCACGATTTAACGGTAGGAGGCTAATGGAAATGTTACTTGCTACAGTAGCAGCCTAAATCAGTTGGGGAAAGGAAAAAGAAATGTGTTTACACTTGAAGATGTCACATAAAACAGTGGGAAGCTCCCACCCCTGACACTAGAACTGGCATGCTCATTCAAGGACTCATCTACATTATTACATGCTCCTTCACACTTAGAAATCTATTAATTTACAATTAGTTGTATTGATTTTATAGCAGATTTGTGATTTCTGTAATAATTTATGGACTACTGAAGAAATTAACTATGCCTCTTCCAAAGATAAGCATTATTGATAAAGAAGTCTTGGCACCACAAGTTATTGAACACATCACCGACAGTCTGGATTTTTCTGCTCTGAATTCTGTGTTAATTACAGCAGAACTGATTGGTAGATTCTATCTGTCCCACCAAGAGTTTCTTCCCTGGCTCCTGACAGTAATCTCCCAGCAGGAAATGTAATCAGCCAGGGGAGACAACTTCAGTTCAGCTTCTGATGCCTTGTTAAGTTAGAGAAATTTAAAGTAGTGTTGTTACTGTGCACATCATTTCACCGGAAAAGACACTGGGTTCTCTTACAAAAAAAAAAAAAAAAAAAAATCTGAAAAGTAATGCTGCGTAAGATGAAGTTTTATCATGATTTTGAGAGCTGTCTACCATCTAGTTTGGTACTGAAAGAATTAACTGAGGCCCACCAAATAAGAACTATTTCTAAAACATATACTACGTAAATCATGAGAACGTTTCCCAGAACAATGCCTGTTGCTTATTATTTTATAATAAGCTATTTTACAAAACAGGGTTATGCCTGTTAGTTCTGACATGGTTTTTGGTACTTCCTTCATGGAAATAGGAAGAAAAAAAAGTTGCTTCCGATAAGTAATTTTTTTTTCCCCTGCCCCCCCGCCTCCTTGGTAGGTACTTCACTTGACAACAGTGTGAAAAGAATTTCTTTCAATTTTGGGTGAACCCCTTTTAATATAAAGGTGGTCACTACGTAACACACTTAAAAGAATGCCTGATTTGTGAAATCATGCTACA